GTGGAGGAGGGGGAAAATAATTTTAGGGTTGTTTGTAGAATAAATAAAAATAAATATGTGGGCATAAAAATGTTAGAGAAACAAGGGCATATTGGTCCAAAATTTACCAGCTTTATTTTCCTCATAAACTTCCAAAGGAAAAAGAACAAAAGGCAGGAAACAAAAAGATTCTCCCAAATATTTGTTGATAGTGATTTTCCTTAATTCTCCTTTGCATTTATTTAGATTTTATCCTAAATAAATATTTTAAAAAATATATTAATTTATTTTTAATATAATGTGTATGATTCATATGCCTTTAAGGAGTCAACACCACACAAAATGTCAACCCACTCCCTTTGAATTTCTATTAATAATTGCATAAATATTTATTATTTTTATTTGCTTCCTTTTTTAAAAAAAAAATTAAGAATTATTCCTCTCATTTTTTTTTATGAAAATAAAAATATTTATAAATTTTATATCTAAAGGAATAGTTTTTTATGTACGAATTTTCATTACGAGTTTGTATAAAATAACGTGAGATGTGATGTAATATTCTAAAACGAATTACAAAACACAACCTATGACGAAAGGTGTTTTGAAAATGTCAGAATTTAAATCGTCCTATGTTATATTCTTTGATTTGGTCGAATTTGGAAAAGATATTGGATTCCTTATATAGATATTGAATTTTCTTCTTAAAATTACTTTGTAGATTGGTAATGATTTTTCGGTCGTAGAAAAATATAATCTAAGGTATAAAATCGTACGGAGTAATATAATGTGTAAAGCATATATTTTGATGGAAAAGGAGAATCAATGTGTTAGATCCTTTCAAAGCTGTCATTTTTTTATTGGAGCCTTCTTCGGAATATGAACTAAATATTTCAGTGGTACAGAGATGTTTAAAACATTTGATGACCCGAAAATTTTAACTAATCTAATCCAACAATATATTTTGGGTTGAGTTATGAACTCATTTAAGTTGGATTTGGTTAAAATAAATAAATAATTGATTTAAAATTAATAAGACGTGAAAGGAAAAAAAAAACAGAAAATAGGGAATTTTTTTCCGACAGTCGGTCAAGCAAAAAAACCACATGTCGGAAGTGGGTTTTGCGTCAGCTCGTCTAATTGTATTATAACCACCGGTTCTATACAGGCTCCGCACCACCACCGCTGATTACACCCACCAACTTGGTCAAATATTGGCTCCCAAAATGCTATATGCACCCACTTCCTTTTTTTTTTTTCTTTTTTTAATTAATTTCCCCAATTTCCTCTTGCTTTTTTTTAAAGCAAATAATAATAATAATTATTATTATTAATTGGCCAATTTTGAATGTTATATAATCTAGTTACACGACTCATTTAGATAACTAATTTTTTTTAACGATAGTAATTAATGTTAGTGATGCATTGTAACTCGTAAATTCTTTTATATTTGAACTTCACGAGATTTTAATTATCAATATAACATGCATCGTGAATAAATATTATTTTTTAATTTAATTAAAAAAACAACCTCACACCTCGAAAATATAGCAGGCGGTTCAGAGTCACCAATCTAATCATCAAAAAATGGTTCATAAGATTTTTTTTTTTTTTTTAACCTAACCCATGAAAAATAATTATTTAAAATTTTAATTTGATTTAAAAGTGTGATTTTTAAGAAATAAAATTTTTATAATTAAAAAAAGTAATTAATTAGTGACAAAAAATTGCATAAAATACCAAAAAATGAAAGTCTCACATCCGCTAATTTAGGGAATGATCATGGGTTTATAAGTGAGGAATACTAACTCGGTGTGAGGTCTTTTGAGAAGCCCAAAGCAAATTCATGAGAGCTTACACTCAAAGTGGACAATATCATAGAGCCTCGATTAAGGGGAGGCGTGCTTTGTTCGAGGGGAGGTGTTGGATGATGAAAGTCCCACATCGCATTTGATTCTTTCCACGATCCCACGTTAACAATTTTTTTATAATATATATATATAAAAAGTTAATTAAAATTTAAAATGGAGAGAATTATTTAGAGGTCAAAGGAAGAAGACAATGAGAATGATGTCACAATTTTTTAAAATAAAAAATAATTATATTTACATTAATTTGGATTTGATAAGAGGATGGTGGAAAATGACGCAACACTTGAAAATGTGGTGATAAAAGATATTAATTGAGCTGTAATCAATATTAATTTTTGGTTAATGCTTAATGACTTAATGTCTTTTAAAGATTAAGGGAAGATTTTTTTTAAAAAAAGAGAGATATTTTTGTATTATTTGATGTTGCAACATGTCGCAATTTCATGTTTTCGAGAATTTAAAAATGTTCGGCTCATAATTTTAAAACTTTCCAATCAGTGCTACTCGACATGAACTCGAACCTCGAATTTCTAAGTCTACGCTATGCAAACCCATTAGATTTTCTCAAATTTGACATATTTATGAAGATTCTCCAAAAATATCTCGGGTTACCTACAACGTCTCTCACTAATCTCAGCAGAAACCCTAGTTTTAGAGGTCGGTAAAAGGTCGTCAATCTCATCACAAAGTCGTGTGCTTAAATTATCTACAAATTAGTCATGAACATATGTTGTTTATTGCTTAGACTCCTAAAAACACTTAAAAATATGCTGAATAGACGTTGAACTCGACTCACAATTTTAACTGTCGATTAGGGTAGGTCGCATTCAGCTCAAACCGAAAGAGTGAGATGGGAGAGCAAACGAACATTAATCACTAATATCGAGAATATTACGAGTGCACAAGTAGATGCACTTTTTCTACTCTATTTAAAGCATATTTGGAGAAAGTTGATAGGCATTTGACCATCGTATGTATATCGAAAATATCAATTACTTCCCATCGTTAGCTTTCGAGCCCCTCAATATAAAACGTATTAACACGTCGACTGATATTTTGATTCGATCGATTTCATTTTTGTAATTAGTAACGGAGAATCTTTTATTTTAAAGATGAATATGAATGTATCATAACAGCTAATAACTTAGGGTTAACGTGAAAACCAAAATATTAATTAAGACTTAGGTAATTAATTATAAGCTAATACTTTAGAGACACAACGAATCGAGTTCATGTCTCACATTAATTAAAAAAACCCATAATTAATTAATTAATTAATTAATGAAGCCCTAAAAGGTTACCTTTTTGGCCATGTTGCTCCCATACTTTCCCTCTCTTTTTATATAATGGAATCATATGCAACTAATTTTATGTTAAAAAAGTAAGGTTACATAATCACCCTAATCCTAAATTAACAATTAAATATGGTATTAGGTTAAGTCGAGATGTCGAGCTTAAACATTACGGTTAAAAATTTAGAAACTAAATAAAAATGGTTGTGACATACGANATATATATATATATAGTTATGTAAAGAGTAAACAAGATCGACAATGAACCGTTTCCTACAAATCTGTGAGTGTAAATTCTCTCCGATCATAATTGCTTTAGAGTGAAAGAAGGGAGAGGGAAGGAGAATATGCTTAACCTCTATCGGTATGAAAAACGAAGATGATATAAAGGTTCAGAACACATGCTCATTCAAACAGCTAGCTAGAATATCAGATCAGAATCATCAGATATC